ATCATGTCATTAGAAAGGGCCATTATATTTTAAAAAAAATAAAGATAATTAGGTTGATAATATTAATGTCCAAATGCAAATATGAAGTTTCAATAATAATTTGTTTACAAGTAACTTTCTTGCTATCTTTCAAAATGCGTATCTTGTTGCCAAATTTTTGAATATTCATCCAAAATTTGCCCTATCTTTGGTCATTCTAGGATTCAAATTTCTTCACTTGAAAATAATTTCTCCTTGATTCTTAATTGAAATGATGAACTAGTTAAAGTCTCCCACTAAATTTGTCATACCAAGTACAAAATACCAATTCGAGCACTCCTCCATACGAAGTAAATTCAATTGCAAATGTCTGAGTGATCTCCAATCTCCTAAGTCTAAACTTGCTCTAATACCAAGCTTGATGTGTTCGGGGAAAAATTCTTATGAAGTAATACTATAACGTTTAAAATGATCTAAGAGAATATTTAGACTACATGGGGGTCTTTGGAGAGTATTTGGATGGGACGACTGAGTAAGAAATATTAACTAGGTCAAATCAATGCAGAATTGGCTAAGATTTGTAACATTGTTTCATATTTTAAAATATTAAAGAAAGTTTAAAAATTCCACTTGAAAATGATGAACAATCTAAGGTGGTACATCTCTTATGATTATGGACCTTTTTCAAGCTAATATTGCTTTCCACCCTAATCTGTTATGGAATTTTAATTCCGTCAGTCTTTAGGATTTGTGTCACTGCACCATCCTTAGATCACCACCCTTAGATAGTTCATGTTGCCTTATTTAGGTGATTTTGCATAATATGAATGCTAAAGCTAGGTACGAGTAATCATAATATGGAAAAGGTGATATGCTAGATGTATTATGATAGGTGCATGTTCTCACATCAAATAGCATGTTGAAGTACATGCAATTTACCTATCAAGCATGATCGTGCAAGGTGAAATGATCATACGCAAAAATAAGCATGAGCAGTGAGTACACAATCATGCTACATGAAATGATTGTGTCGACATAACATGATATGTTTATGAAAATGCTAGGTGAAATCATACATGCTAGGTGGCCCGACTCATGCTAGGTGGAGTGATATAATGTTATATGAAGTTATATGATAGGTGGAATGACTAATTCTAGGTGACATGACTAACACTAGATGAAGTCATACACTAGGAGACAAATTTCAAAAGAGGTCTTAGAATAATTTTTTTTCTTTGAAGGTAAAATCATGACATATATTCACGTATTAATTTTAAAAGAAGTTAAACATGGAATTAATACAGGTTTTATTAATTGTGGATTAATCCCACATATTTATTGATTAAATAAAAAAATTTAAATAAATATTATGTTAAAATATTTGAAAAAATATTTCAATAAAATATTAACATATCATAATAAACTCTTAAAAAAAAAAAGACAATATTTTAATTAAATGATATTTTTTTTAAAATATAAATTATCATAAAGTTATACTCAATAATATTTTTTAAATAAATAATTTATTTAATGAATAATAATAAAATAATATTTAAGTTAATCATTATATTTAGAAAATGATGTAAATTATGGAGAAATTAGTATTAATTCATCTAGAGCTATATGTATTTATTAAATAAAATTTTTAAGAGACTATATTAATTAATGATATATATGTAACATAAATTTATGACATTAATTAATTATTTATTTAAGTTAAATATTTTTACATGAATAATTTATTTAGTTAAAAATTATAAAATTATGCTAATTGAAGGAAAATAAGAATTAATTTTTTTAGATGATATTGAAATTAATTTAAATTAGAATTAAATAGTTTGTTATTCACAAACTTCAACAATCAAAATTAGAAGTTTCAAACAAATCATTTTTTGAAATAATTTCAAGCTTCATTAAAATAATAGTTGACAGTATGATAAATTTAAAAACAAGACAAAATCTATTTTCTTCGGTGTGATTATATGATGCTTGATCCTGGAATATATCTTGATAATGCTTGGAGTGGTCGTTCTCATAATTGATGTTCCTCTTCATGTTCTTCTTCCATCTCTTCACCAATTGATGTAACAACTGAAGTCTCATGTTGCTTGTAGAGTAGTTTTCACCATAATTCAGACACAAATTATATTGCATATCAAAATGCTCATCCTTAGAAGTAGTCCAATCCATAGCATAAGATGGACCCTCTTGTGATGTTGAAGGTTTTGCAGATGTTGAGGGTCTTGCATATATTGAGGATTTTGAATATGTTGAGGGATCAATATAAGCAAAAGAACTTCTCGGAGCATCTACAACCTATCTTCTTGAAAAGTTTGCTAGTGACCGTCATGGGATATCTAAAGTTGATATCCGGTAAGTGTGGTTTTTTGGTTGATCAAACACATTATAATTAAAGTTCATTACAACCTTCTTGTATTGCCGTAAAATCTTTGCCATGGCCACCAACAAATCTCCTAGCAAAGCCCTTTGATTGTAAGTAGTAGTCCACCTATACAAGTTCATAATTAATTAAATAAAGACAAGGTAGATAAAAAATTAAGTATAAAATTATTTTAAACTATATACACACCTTTAATCTCTCTCTAGGTGACATAGGGTAGTAAGTATCTTGTGGTTCAGTAGACGATTGAGCTTGAGAGACGATGCCCATGATCTATACCATTGTAAGTAATACATCAATTTTGCACGTCCATCACAGGTAGGTGGGTTCAATGGTAATGTGAGGTCCTGGTGATTATTTTATAAAGCAATATAATTTTGATAATAATGCATCTAGTATCTGTTCAATTTCCCTCAGCCATTGACCCTCCCAAATGATCGATTTATAGGCTCAATCATTGTGGATTGTATAGAAGAAAACTATCGCATTACCCGATCTAAAAGATGTCACTCCACGCAGTTTAAACTAATGAGAGGAACACGAGCTGTCCATATTTCTATATTCTTAAGACAAATCTCAGGCAATCAAACTAGAATACCATCAAGATATGGTGCCTAAATAACCTGTTTGTTTAAATCTTATGATTTATTGTAAAGTAGATAAACAATATACAAGTAAATATACATAATTATATAAAAAGAAACATATTTAACTGTGCATTAATCCATAAATATTGTTTCTATAGATTTGTAGATTTCTTTGAGGTACCTCTCTTACCCTATCCTCGTTTCATCTGGGCATTATAGATGAATTATTACGAACTTTTCAGGCACATATTCAAAAATTATTAGTTTGCATTAAATATACTTGAATCCTAATGACTTGCAAGATAAATCTATGGGAGTAGAAGCATGGAGAATTGGTGCATCTACATGCAAATGCTCCCAACACCACACTAGTAAAATGTGCAAATATTATGCTATGTTAACAGAGGTAAGCTTTGTGGATATATTTAACTCTCTATACAAATGTAATAACACAAAATTTTCTAGTGAGTACTGTGAAAATACAACTAAATTCTCAAGTAATAGTAAATATTATAAATGGATGTGTGATCCTAATGTGTTAGAAAGTAAAAAAATAACCTTACATATATAAAATATACGTCCTAACATGACACAAAAAATAAGGATAGTCTAATCTCGTAGGATTCTCTGTCAAAAGTCTATCAAAGCCAACAAAGAGGTATAAATATATGGGATTGAGAGTGGCCCAAATGAATGTTTGCCATGATATACTTGTTTTCAGGCTGATGAACCTAGACATATACGTTTGGATGCCCTCCTACTAAATCATCACAACAATCTGATCAACCAGACTAGTGCAACTCCGGGTAAACAGCTACATGACCAATTAGGGCCTCTCCATACACTCTAATGCCAAAAATAATCTGTACATTATGTAGCGTAATAGTCATCTCATCTACAAAATGATAAAAATTTCTTATCATCATATTATTAACTACAAATATATGAATAACATACAATTTAATATGTACTTATCTTACAAATAAGTAAATTAAATGTATTAGTCAGAGGACACCATCGATCCGCCATACAAAAGTTACAAACAAAATCAAGCTCTGTAATCTGTAATGCTCGAGTGAATCGCAGAGCACTGAACTGACCACTCGCATGCTCTATGCCATGATTGGTGGTCTCGTCTTGTCTCCTGTACAAGATTTTAATTAAGACAATATTATATCTATATTTCAATTTTATTAAGAAGAAAATATATGTACATTTTATGATTAGGATTTGAAACTCAATGAGAAGCTCCTAAGGAGATTATGCTCAGTGGTGCTCCATGTCACGGACTAACTTTCGTCAAGTCACCCGTGCGGCTTTAGCGCTCTCTCTTAGCACTAAATCAGCCTAATCACTCACAACACTGGACTTAGCAGCCCCAAGCACTCTTAAGAAGAAGAATAGAGAGAAAGGAATAATTAGCACTTGAATACTAGAATGCTTTGATTCAATGCTTGGGTAAATACAAATGAGGGGAGGAGCTCCTATTTATAGCCTCCTCCATGCCTTTGGCCTTTCATCTAGCCAATGTGGGACTATACAATGTCCAAGAGAAGCTTCTAGATTACAATATAATATTCTATCTCTTAGACTATTCTAATGTACATAAATAACTCTAGAACATTCTAGGTTATTCTTAGATCCTCTTTAGAGCTTTTCCTTCTTGCTCTCCCCTGAACGTGGTGGAATCTTCTAGAGCCCCTTTGATGACTCCTCATATTCGGACCTTCTCTAGAATCTTCCATTCTCTGTTCGTCTCGATGATTTCTCGAATGTCGCGGAGCGTGACACTAGGCACCTAAGATGTGTTCCGTGCTCAGCATTTCATCGATTTTGTTATTTTATCACTAAAATTGAGAAATTAATCCACGTTTAATAAACCCATGAATTAATTTCATGTTTAACCTTTTTTTTAATTAAAACGTAAATATATGCCACATTTTTGCCTCTAATTAAACAAAATTTTGAACAGGTTCCTTTCAATTTATTTGCAGCCTCTTTTAAGAATTTGTCCCACCCTCAACGGTATCGTCACGTGACCTCGCAGCACAGCTACCATGGCAGGTCGTTGCGCGCCAAAAAGTCCAACCGTGCTGCGGTCTTTTTAGGTTTTGCCCGCGAAGTCGCTGCAATCTCTGCAATTCCCTTTTTCTTTCTTGGTTCATTTCTCTCCATTCATCGGCAGTCTCTTCATCAACTTTCTCAGCGTTTGCTCCTCTTTTGCCAACGTGAGGCAGAACTACTCTTCATTACCTTTTCTCCATTCAGGCTTCCTCCTTCGCTAATTTTTTTTTTCATCTTAATTTTGTTGTTTTTTTCGCTGTTATCCGATGAGAAGAGTACAAGTTTTATAGTGTTATAATCTATTGAATTAATTCGCGTATATTAGGGCTTTCTCATCTGCTTTCCATCGAAGCATGCTTCAGGTTTCTTTGGGCTTGTTAATCCCTTTAACTGAATTTGTTTTGATGTTTCGGGACATGAGCTTGTGATCATGGATTCATTTGCCATGTTAGTTATCTGTGGTAATAATGATTATTGGAAATATCAAAAATTGGCTAACTTGATTAACAGTGCTGATGTCCTTACTCCTGTAAAAAAACGTTGCCTGGGCTAGTCAGGATTGGCAAGTGGTGACTTCTGCTATAATTGTTTTTAACTGACGTCTAGTTTTTTGTATGAGAAATTTCTAATGCCGAGCTACAAGTGGAAAGTAGGGCCTTATAAAATGCTTAAAATTTTGTGTCAATTGAACTTTTGTTCTTTTATGTAAAATTTTATTCTTGTAGAGGGAATTGGAGAGCTTCAATTTTCTGTTTCAGTTTTTTTTTCTTTTTTTTTTCTTTTTTTGTGAATATTAAAAATTGAAGACCTTTTATTGATTTTCAGTTGCGGTAGAAATAGTTGAAAATATGTGCAAGAACATACAGCTATTCCCTAATGGTATGGTATATCCATGCTACTGCTTCTAGTGTTTCATTTGTAGTGTAGGGATTGGCATAAAATTCATGGAGGACATATGGTTTTGCAGGAAGTAGCAGTGAATTCATTCCCTAACTTGAATTTTAAGAACTAGAATATAAATATTCTTAATTTAAAGAGTGATAAAATAGTTTGTTATATATGAATGGGAAAATCCTATACTAGGCTTGTGAGCTTGAAGTCCAAATCAAAATTTTTTTTTACAATAATGCTACCTAGGCTATTGCATAATGTAATACTAACATATGTATAGTTTCATAAGTCTATAAATAAAAGAGGAATGCAATTGTTACATAAATGGGAGTTTGAAGTTTTCTTTTCTTTTTCATAAAATGTTTAAAAGACACGATGTAATAATTGCACCCTTCAGATTGTTGTGGCTCCGCCATTTAATTTTTATGCTGAATGATAAAGCTCATTGGCTGCTTATTGAGAACATGTTTTGAAAAGCATTGAAGTTTGACAATTCTATCATTTGGTTAGAGGTAGTTAGTGACAAACATGGATACACATACTACAAACTTCTGAAGAACTTCAAATGTGATAATTTTATTTTCCCATTCAACATGAATGACAATGAATTCACAATTTTCAAAAACATATTATCTGAATGCTTGAAACCATTTGATACTTTAGGTGGCCCATAGAGAGTCTAAGAGAATAGTTTGTACACTAAGAATTCAACTTTTAGTGATCTTTAGTATAGAATAGATAGAAAAATGAGTGAAAAATATATTTATAAACTAGCCAGATAAAGAGAAATGAAAAGTAAAGATTTTATTATAGTGTATTAAAGAAAAAAAATCAAAAAGTGCTTTTCTTAGAGGAAGATATTGAACATAGGTTGGTCTGATATTTTGATCAGCTTTTCAATGAAATTTCTGAAAATAAGATCAATCTCAGTGATCTTAATATCATTAATAATAATAAAAATTATTATTTTTACCATCACATTAGTAAAAAAGAAGTTCAGGAGGCTTTAATGAAAACTAAGGGTGGAAAATCAGTAGGTCTCGATGATATCTCAATTCAAGTGTGGAAATATTTAGGAGATTTGACAGTTTCTTGGCTTACTAAACTCTTTAATTTTTCTTTTTTTAAATCAAAAGGATGCCTAGGAAATTGACCCGCTAACTCAAAATTGGTCCCATTTTTAAGAATAAAGTGGATGCACAAGAGTGTGCAAATTATAAGTAAATTAACTTACTGTCATACATTAACATTATGAGAGAGAGTAATTGAACATAGATTAAGACATGATACTAATATATCTGATAATTAGTTTGGATTTATGCCAAGAAAGTCTACTATGGAAGATATACATTTATTGAGAGGTTTGATGGAGAAGTACAAAGAGAGTAAGGTGGATCTAAATATGATTTTTTATGATATGAAAAAGCTTGCGATAAGGTTCCAAAAATTTTTTTTGGAGAGTTCGAGAAAAGAAAGGTGTTGATATGACTTATATTCAAGTAATTAAAAATATGCATACTAGAGCTCTTACTTGTGTTCGAACAGGTGGATTGACCAAATATTTTTCTATTTTAGTTAGATTACATTAGTGATCAGCTTTAAGCTCTTTTCTTTTTGCTTTAGTTATCGATGCTCTTATTGGACATTTATAGGAGGATATACCTTGTTGTATGCTTTTCGCTTATTTTATCCTTCTTTTGAATATGACTAGAGAAAGGGTTCGGGAAAAACTTGAATTATGGATGTCCACATTAGATTCTGAAGGTTTTCTTTTGAGTAGATTTAATACCGTATACATGCAATGTGATATTAGTAGTAGTAGATCTAGTGGTTTCCATGTAACTATGGGTGATTAAATCATCAAAAGGTGGGAGCATTTTAGATATCTCATGTCTATTGTTCAAAGTGATGGTAATATAGATGGGGATATTATTAGAATTCAAGTTGGTTGGTTGAAGTGGAGGAATGCATCAGGCTTATTGTGTGATAGAAAGTACCGCTTAGACTTAAAGGAAAATTTTATATGATGGTGGTGAGACCTGCAATGCTTTATGGCACAAAATGTTGGCCTTTAAAAGAGAAGCATAAAATTAAGTGTTTCTGAGATAATAATGCTTAGGTAGATAGGTGGCTTGACAATCAAAATGCGAAATGAATGTTTCTGAGAAATGGTTGGTGTAACTCTAGTTACAGACAAGATTAGATAGAATTGTCTTAGATTGTTTGGTCACATTACGCGTCGATCATCTGATGGATTGGTCACATTAAGCGTGACCATGTGATGGATTAGTTACATTAAGCGTCGACCATCTGATGATCCGATTAAGAGAATAGATGTTTTAGATTCGACTTATGTTAAGAAGAGTAGAGGTAGACCTAAAAAGACTTTGGCATATTGTATAAAAGATGCTCTTAATTTATTAGAATTAAATGAAAATATGACACTCAATATGACACAATGGAGAAAAATGATATATGTAGCCAACCCCACTCTGTGGGATAAGGGCTTGTTGTTGTTGTACCATGTCTTTCCAAGAGAGAAAAAAAACCCAGAAAGAACAAAGAAGGATAATATAATTTCCTTCCACTTATTGAGCTTCAGATTCTCATGGTAAGATAATTACTGATTTTCTTATCAGATCTTGTTTGGCACAAAGTATTAAAGCAGATTTTGAAATGTGACTGTGCTTCAAGTTCTGAATGCACGGATAGGGTCAAAGTTTCGCTTTTAATATATCAAGAAAATTGTTGTTTTTTTCCCGAGTTTTGAACCTTAGGCATTCATTTTATATGTTAAAGTTAGTACTACTCGAACAATGTAGTAGTATTTTTTATTGAACATTAAGAATCCTTGTGGCTATTTTTGAATGTTTTGTCTACTTCAAAATAGTATAAATTCAAGATTAATTGTTTATTCTTAGAAGTTCAAGGTAGTCCTTGGTTTTTTCTTTTACTAGTGTGTATGCATGCTAAGCACACTCAGCTCACATGGTTAGAATTTACGATATGCTATATATATAGACACACAGACACTAGTGAGTCTCTTTCTAATAAAATTATATAAATTAGATAGGTAATTAGGAAATTATTCAGGGGTTTGAATAGGAAATTAGATGAAAGAATTATAATTTGATTTAATTGTATTAAGAAATGAAAATATAAATTATTTATTTTAATAATAATTTATATTGAGAAGATGTGCTTTTTTGTGGATTGTAATTGGAATATCTCCCTTTTTTAATTGGTAGTGTAAATAATGTACTACGGTTTATATGATAAATCAATTTAAATGACTGTTTTTTATTTTAGCATATACTTGTCACTTCCATTGAGAATGCATAATTTGCTAAGAAGATATATTAAATATTTCAGCATTTCAGTATTATTGTCCCCTGCATGGTATTATAGTTGCACTCCTTTACAACTAATACTGTTATTGTCGTCAATCCACATAATACTGCAAACAGGACAGAAGCGCGCAATTTGTAGTGCTTACATTTCGGAAGAATCATTACTACCATTGTTCTTTTGTTTTTCAAGTGTCGATTCTTTTTCAAGTACTTCAATGTTGCGATCTGCACTTAATGAGGTGTCACCAGCTGGTTCATTCATCCGAAGCCCTTCAACTTTTCGTAATTTTATTTCAAAAGATCCAAATGCCCAGTTCCCTGCAGTATCAGGAAGATACCATCTTTATGTATCTTATGCATGCCCCTGGGCATCTAGATGTCTGGCATATTTGAAACTCAAAGGGCTTGACAAGGCCATTGGTTACACGGTGATGCTTTCCTGCTCCGGCAGACTTGACATAATTTTATATCATTACATATTTAAATCTTAAAGATTTCTAATTTCTTTAGGCTGTAAAAACAAAATGGGAGAGGACCAAAGTTACTGATGAGCATATTGGCTGGGTCTTTCCTGTTTCTAGCACGGAAGAACCTGGGGCCGATCCTGATCCTTGGAATGGAGCCAAGAGTATCAGGGAACTATATGAGCTTGCAAGTTCAAGCTATTCAGGAAAATATACTGTGCCAGTGGGTATATCATATTTTGATTTTTGTTCTTTTACATATATTTCAAGCATGGCAATCAATTTTTTCTTGGTTAAGTCACCAATTAATTATTTTTAAATTATGCAACAGGTCCTTTGGGATAAGCAACTGAAAACAATTGTAAATAATGAGAGTGCAGAAATAATCCGCATGCTCAACACAGAGTTCAATGCGATAGCAGAAAATGCTGATTTGGACTTGTACCCCTCTCACCTGCAATCAGTAATTGATGAGGTCAATGTATGGGTTTATGATGCGATAAACAATGGTGTATATAAGTGTGGGTTCGCTAAGAAACAAGGGCCTTATGATGAGGTAATTACTATTTTCTTAATTTGAATGAAATTTACTTCTCTCTGACTTTTTTTTTCTCCTTTAACCTAGGCTGTAGTCAAGTTATATGATGCCTTGGACAAATGTGAAGAGATACTGAGCAAGCAACGCTATATTTGTGGGAATGAGTTGACAGAAGCTGATATTCGTCTTTTTGTAACTCTGATTAGGTTTGAGATTAGGTTTGATGAGGTAAAAAATCTTCAACTCATAATAGGTTGCGTGATTTCTTAATTGCAAGTGATGACTAATTTTTTGGTTCTGCCAGTCCATCATATGCACGTCCTTTCTAATGCCATTTAACAAAGAGCTGTATGATGAAATTGGAGTTTTTGACTTGGAAAAAGATGCACACAGTAAAACATGAACATTTCAAGACTTCCTTCCACATGTAATTGGCTTTATGTTAGCACCATAGATAGTACACATACGCCTCTGTTACACAAGGAACTGCATAAGGTCAGCTTTGTTTCTCAAGGCTATAATCATTGAGTAAAAAGAAGTTCACGAAGTGCAAACCTCCTTTCATCTGGACTCTGCTTCCATAATCTAAGTAGAAACACAATAAAAAATAGAAGAAAGGTAAATTTTGATAGCATATATGAATCCTTGTCCTCCATTGATTATTTATATTGGGTGTTACATGATTTGGTTATTCATGTTTGCAGAAAAATCTAGACATTCTATTATTTAGTCTGTTGCTTTTTCATCCTGTTCCTTCTAATTAAATTTACTTATATATTTATTGCTTCATTTTCTATCATACATTGCTCATGATAAATCCATTTGAAGCTAGCTTATGTTCTAGAGATGCTACTTTGCTCATTTCAATAGTAGAATCATTATTCCATCAATCATCTAGCTCTTACATAAATTTATAGTATCATTCTCATTTATGCCACAGTCAACTTATCTATTAGCAAATTTTTTGTTCCACGTGCACGGATCAATTTACATAGTTTCTTAAAATTTTTTACTTAAAGTCTTAATATTATTTATGACATATGTACTAAACTTCCTAATAATATTAAATTAGATAAATCTATTATGCTTATTTATTACATTATTTTTGTAACATATTGATTGATGATTTCTTTAGATTCATTAAAATAAATATTACATACTTGGTCTTTATTCTATTACCTTAAGCTCCTTTTCTCTTATAAACTTTTTCCATTGCTTAATTTTTTCGACTTTTTGAGAGATTGTCTCATTGGGATTTCAATGCATATTGAATACAATGAGTTACTTCCCAATAAATATCTTTTATTAGCATATTTATAACTATAACCATGCAAAAGCTTGTCCGATTTGATGATGATCTATGTGGTAACCTCTCGATGGAAATTATTTGATTCATCTACAATCACTTGTAATGCTGGTCATTGTCCCATTGCATATATCCCTAACTATTTTATTATACATTTGTTATTGATAAATCAAATTTTTTTTTATACACATGCGCCCTTCAAAATTCTTGCCTTTCTTTCTTCAGCACATACAAATATATATTTTTTTCATCCATGGTTTGGTTGAGGGAAGGGGAGTGGTAGAGATCATTTTTAAAGATTATAAAGTCGCACATGCATTGGAAAGGTTGGGATACACGTCTTAACAGTTAAAAGTTTACTCTCAGGAGTACTATTCTGCGTTCATTGTTTCTTATCCATCTTTATTCCATCCTATTATTCCTTGAAACCGCATGATTGAACAAATTTTACCTAAATTACTTGTGCAGATTTTTTTTTTTTTTTGTATTGTGTTAAAGAAATGAATAGTTAAAAACTGAATAATAAGACTATCCAAACGTTTCTTACTTTATAATACAGCAAAATGCAGTCATACATATCGGGGAAGGATTATCAATTTTTTGTACCATGACAATTTTCACTTGAATATCTAACCATATTTGTTGTTCAAGCAAATTTGGCACTCATGATTATGTCCAAATTTATTTCTATTAATCTATACTAGAATTTTGTTTAATTTTATAATATGTATATTGGCTCATATAGGGGTGTCAAAAATTGACCCAACAGGCTAGCTCGACTCGAAAAATTCGGATTCGGATTGGTCCGATTAATTTTCAGGCCAGGTTCGGGTTTAAAATACCATCATGTTTAATTTCTTAGACCGGGTTTAGGTTGTCCTACCAATCCGAAAATTGGCTCAAAAATTGACCCGCTAACTCAAAATTGACTTGAAATTAAGCCGCCATTCTGAAATTGACTCAAATATGACCCGCCAACCCGAAATTGACTCGAATATGACCCACCAACCCGAATTTGACGTTAACATAACTCAAAATTAACCCAAATTTGTATTTAATAACTATTATGCATATATTAAATATTTTATATGGGTTGCATTTTGGGTCAATCGGGTTGAAGATGGGTCATGCTTTGTTAGACTTTCCAACTCATCAAATATTTGGGTCGGGATCTGTTCAATTTTGGTTCAAACCTGATTCAAATCCACGAACCCAATTTGACACTTCTTGGCTTATTCAATCTCTAAATTTTAATTTCATTCTCCTACGCTCTCCTTATGTAGTATATAAAAACCTGCGAGTAGATGTATTAGTTTGGCTTTCCAATCAACCCTTACATCTCTTTTATATCGACATGAGTATATGTTAACAAATTAGTCATGTTATGGTTAAATTTGTCTTATTATATGATTTTTATAAAATTAAAGTGGTAGTTAGAGGTTTCCATTTATACCTCATTGGATTTAGAACATAGGGAGGATAATTTTTAAGTCAAGACTTTTATTAATAATTAAATAAGAAGACTTTTTCTTTGATAATGTTTTGTGAAAGCTATTATAGTATAATTATTTGTATTCCATTCCTAAAATACATTAATATTTTAAATTTATTTGTCTTATCATCATTATTAGCCTTAGAAAAACTATTCAGAGTTGATCAACCTTATGTATCTTTGTTCTTCGCTGAATAGTATTAAGTGTTCTTTACATTATGCTAAAGTATATTTACATATTTTTGGCCCAGGTTACTTTAAGAATAGCATTTCTCGTGTATTTAATCATCATGTCAAACTAGTCTATGCGTTTGAATTGTGAGGGATGATAGTTATAAAAAACATTCAAACTATCATAAGGCTCTATTTGAGTTGAAAAGTTATCAAACATTGATAAACTAAATAAAAATAAATATAATTATAACTAAAATCTAAAGAATATATATATATAGAGAGCCATTAGATAACATAAATGATATATATGATATAATTATTAAGATGCCATTGGGGATCACTTTTGTTTTTTGCTTTTTATTTTTAGTTATAAACATGTTTGTATGTTAAAACATGTTTTATCGTTTTTAAAAATACTCAAAACACGTAAAAATTATTTTCAATGTTTGTACGAATAAGGTGATCTGTTCTTAATAAAAATATTAAAGAAAAGTTAATTAAAGACAAAAGAAAAAAAATAAAAATAAGATGAAAATCAAAAGTGGCGCCAAATAACCCCATCTGTTTAAATATAGTAGTATTCTAAATTATTGATATTCATGATGTGATAATTATGTTTTGATTGAATTAATTATTTCAAAATCCTAAGTACATCATAAGCCTTATTCAAACTTAAATTTATGACATGCATAATGCGTTCGTGTTGAAATTATTGATGGAAAAGAACTTCAATAGATTTTATTTATAATTGTTGCATACATGTTGCCAAATGCAAACATTAGATTGAGAAAAAAATAATATTGTGTATATTCTCAATTAAGAACAAAATATCCCCTTTATTGATCTCTCAATCTTGTGTGATAACACTTTTCTTGTTGGAGCATACATATATATGTGTGTGTGTGTATTTATGTATATTATGAGATCTAACTTACTATAACTATTGCAGAATTGAAATGGCTTGAGCATTTCTCAAGATATTTGTTGATCATTCTTTTCTAGAGACATGAGAGCGTTAATCCTCTTTAATGGAAAGTCATCTCCATTAAAAAGATTATCTACTTTAATATATTTATTCTTTAAAAAAAACTAACTCCTTGTAATATGGATTACTATTTGTTTATCACAATTAAGAAAGATCTGTTGAATAATTAGAACATCAAATTCTTGAATAAGATATCTATCGGCATTATTTCATATGAGGAAATGCCATTGCTTCATATTAGCTTCAATATCACATCCAACAACAATAAATTCTTCTATTTTCTCCACAAAACAATATTCCTCCCACAAAATTCAGAAGCAGACCTCTGATTTTTTCTAGAATAATCATCATTAGTGTATGATTCAATTCATAATTGGTTATGCTATTGATACACCAATTCTATCATTTGAGATTTCTTAATATACTCTAAAATTTTAAAGGAAAAATCTTAGTGCTTATCTAAGACATTTCTATCAACATGAGAGAATTCTTGGAATCTACTCAAATATTGCAGACCTAGATGTTATTGAGTTACAAGAGCAACAACAATGAAGTCTTTAGCCCACTAAGTGGGGTCGGCCACATAAATCATTTTTCTCCATTGTTTCTTATTGAGTGTCATATTTTTATTTAATTATAATAGATTAAGATCATTTTTTATACAACATGCCTAGGTCTTTTTAGGTCAACCTCTACATTTATTATTAGATGGTCGACGTTTAATGTGACCAAATCATATCTAAGACTCTTCTCTAATCTTGTCTGCCCTGCCATGGATATATTCGTTTTGCATTTTGCTTCCAAGTGTAAAGCCACCCGTCCACAAAGCATTTTCATCTCAAAAACACTTAACTTAGTTTTATGTTTCTCTTTTATAGGCCAACATTTTGCACCATAAAACATTGCAGGTCTCTCCACCATCTTATAAAATTTTTCTTTAACCATCCAACTTGAATTCTACTAATAACATCCCCATCTATATCACCATCACTTTGAACAATAGATCCGAGATATCTAAAACGTTCACTCTTTTCAATGACTTGATAACCCAGTTTTACAACCACACCACTAGTTCTACTACTAAAACTACATTCCATTGTACAACCGCATCACTAGATGTTACTAAGTTGAACACTCATAAAATCAGTGTAATTTTAAGCTAGATTGACCCAAGCCTTCAGCTCATACTCAATTGAGCACTCCTTGTACCATTCCAGTGATATGAAGTGACTGATTTAGAACTGATTCATTTTTGTGCTCTTCTATAGCGCCTTGTCAGCTTGTCTCCTAGTCTTAGAAAGATTAATTTATTTAGCTTTTAAATCTTAATTAATTATTCAACAGGATTTTAAAGGTGCCATCAATACTTTTGTCATAGTTATGGTATTTTTAGAGGAGTCAATTTTTTGAGGTGTGAGGAACGTTACTCAGTGGCGTTGGTCACCAGAAACATTATATCACGAACGGCTCTCACAACTTTTGTCAAAGAAACTCCCAAATGAATGATTATTGGGTATTATCAAGGTGGCGGTGACCTTTTGTTATAAATTTTGTTTTAGGGCGACAATCATGGTATTGATATTGTTTTTGATGGTGATGCTGGTGATTGTTAGAAAGTACAATATTGATGTGACATAATGAATGTGTCAGAATGTGTTAGGCTCAGGCTAAAGTTGAAATATAATGCTATGAGAAATGTTACATTTAAGTAATACAAGTGAGATTACACTATAAGACTTAACCAAACGTTTATTATAAAATGAGTAAATCTAGCTAGCTTGAAGCCATCTTATTATATAGATAACTCATAATGAGCTCCGATAAGAGAATGGGATCTTTGATATGGAAAGTTCTGATGAAGTCATCGATGGCTTCACTTTGAATTGATGAGTAGCTTTGTATACATAGTGAGTTCATTTGGAAGTTTGTCATCATGGGGCGACTAGCCTTTGATGATTTCAATTGAAGGATACATTTGCATATAGAATGTTACTTTAACGAGTTCAAATCATAAATGGCAAGCTCCCTTATTGTGTAAAAAGGCGATTTCTCTGATAATTTTTTTTAAAGACTTTGTTTGGTTGATGATGACTTCCTGAAACCAGTACAAGATCATCACAAGATTTGGATAACTTGGCTTTGGTGAAATTTCTGTATACTAGGGTTATGCCATTAAAAAAAACAAACTCTAAATTACTTTTTGTGCTAGCTTGATGCTGCCTCATTTAGTTTACTAGATTCACAGCCTCAAAGTGCCCCTCAATCCCTGAGCTTCATCTACAAATAGAGCTTATACTGCTCATATCTATTCATCATATTCATTCTCTTTATTTGTTTTATGAGGGGATAATGTTGAAGTAACATCCTTGTGGATTTTGTAACGTTTATTTCTTGCTTGTGTAGAAGCGGCTTCAGGAAACAATGTCGGAGTTAGACTGCTCGGCCAACACAATGATCCTTTCCAATCTGCAACATTTTGTATCGTCTTAAAATGACCTTTTACTTGAGATGTTGAGCTTATTTGCAATAAGCCCTAGCTGTCTGATCCTCCTATGTCTTTCTGAGACTCAAGTTCTCACTTTGACCTCCTTGGATTCCTATTTCTATTAAAACTTGGATCCCTGGTTCCCCTTCCCAGTTCACGAAGCAGTTTCATTGTCTTCTTCAGAAGCTTAACCAATATGGCTAGCAATAACACTTCCAAGCATCATCAAGCCACTCAGTGCTTGGCAAACTCTTTTAGACCCCCAAATTTCATATTAAACACGCGCGCACGTAGCACTCACATAGCTGTTTGCATATGCAGTAAGCAAGTCTTCATACTGATAGCGTCATTTCCCCACCTCTCTAATCCATTCAAAATAAGCAAGTCTTCATCTGCAATTATTGAACATCTACGAAAAACCTGGTAGGTCTTTGATCCTCTAGTTTCCACAATAATGTAAATGCAAGGATTTGATAGTTAAATTAGTATGTGCTTTCACTTAGTACTTCAGGCTTTTTCCATTTTCTTTTTAATTAAAGATCAATGCTGCTTATTGTATACTGGTCTCTGGCCTCAAAACATTTTTGGAATGTATTTTTTCCATACAGTTTAGAAATATTTGCCAAGAAACTCAAGCTGAATGTGTTGCTCCAAACAAATTTTGCCTTTGTTTACAAGAAATGGGGCAAAAAAATAAGCTGTAGTGATTTATGTTCTTCTAGTTCCTTCATTTTGCTAATGATTTGATTACTAATTAATTTATTTCTTAAACAGGTGTATGCTGTTCATTTCAAATGCAACAAGAAACTCATCCGTGAATATCCGAAACTCTTCAATTACACCAAAGATATTTATCAAATCCCTGGCATCAGCAGCACCGTTAACATGGAACACATAAGGAAGGGCTACTATGGAATGTTTCCTCTCAATCCCTATGGAATTATACCAGTTGGACCCAACATAGATTATTCCGCTTCTCATGATAGAGAGGTTTATTAATTTATTAGGTATGAGCAATTTTCTTTTTTTTGGTTCTTTGGCTTCTTGGAACTACATTGTGCTGAATATCATTGTGTTGAAGAGGTAATCAATGCATGAATGGACTGATTATATTGAGAAATAAGCTTGTACCGGGTTGTGTGCCCAATCTTAAAAGTTTGATTAATTAATGTACATGATATGATGTTTAATTTGTTGTTCTCATTGTATATGTTATCATGTTTCAAATATAGCTTGCTTTATGGGTTTCTCTTTACCAGAAATTATTTTTTGTTCTACGGATTTATAGTGTCTCCTAATGTTAATTTTGGATTCGGTTTTGCTTGATTGATGTATAAAGCTGTACTTTTGAATTAAACTTACACTTCGAAATAAATTTACTCGTACTTTTGGGAATTATATGAGTGTTTACCACCTAAAAAATAGGGAAAAAAGAAACAACATGCATGAGAAGAGAAAAATTACATCGGGTTAATTGGACGAGTGGACGACGATATGGATTAAACAATGCAATGTGTTTGGCGGTGTGATGTGATTCACGTCATCGAATCATGATAAGTCATTCGGTCAGCCTTCGCTCGATCGGCTTTCAAATCAGGCTAAAAATAGGGGTTTCACTTGATTAGATAACTCTTCTGGTATTTCACTAGGGAACACTTGGTGTTCTGATGTTGGAACCTTATTCTTCCTCTGTGGGACCTTAGGTCTTCTGCCCACGGACCATTGGTCTTCAACTCGTTGGCCCTATTGCACTGTGCTCCTTGGCACCTTTTGTTCATCAGCTTTCACTGAGATTTGTGATGACGCTTATCTGATGTATTGTTCTGATGTTGGAACCTTATTCTTCCTCTGTGAGACCTTAGGTCTTCTGCCCACGGGCCATTGGTCTTCAACTCGTTGGTCCCATTGCACTGTGCTCCTTGGCACCTTTTGTTCGTCAGGTTTCACTGAGATTTGTGATGACGCTTATCTGATGTACATATTTTAGTTCTCTGATTCTCTTACTTCTTTAAAGCGATATGTCACACTTCACCATATTCTAGAAAGGGACAAGAACCTCATTGGATGGAAAGTTCTAGAGAGTGCCAGAAAATAGAGAGGCATCCAAAGGACTCTAGAATATTCCACCATGTTTTGGAGAATGCTAGAAGGGAAAGGCTCCAAGGAAAACTCAAGAGTAACCTAGAAAGTTATAGGGTTATGTATGTACATAAGAGAGAAGTATAAACTCTCTAGAAGCTAGAATAATCAAATGTATTCTAGAATGTTACATTGGGCTTGGAAGGGGCTATAAATAGGAGCCGCTCCCCTCATTTGTAATCACTTAAGCATCCAATCAAAGCTTCCAAGTATTTAGGTGTGAAGTATTCATTTCTCTCTACTCTTCTTCTTTAGAGGATTAGGCTGATTTAGTGCTAAAGGAGAGCGCTAAAGCCGCACGGGTGACTTAAGAGATTAGAGCAAAGTTAGTCCGTGACAGTTGGTATCAGAGCCTTGGTTCGAAGGAATGACAAAAAGCATCAAAGAACACGTGATGGAGTCGGAAGCCATTAATGTGGAGTTATCTCAGGGGCGAGGTCGCCAGAAGCAAAGAGATCTTGTAGCACCCAAACCACATGGGAATTCCAAGGAGATCATGCATGGCTTTGATTTGTGTCTTTTTCGGATGGAGGAGGCAATGAATGGCATGGAGGGCCAAGTAGAGGATCATGGCTAAAGGGTTGATGGACTCGAGGAGGAGGACGTCACCATCTATTCAACGATCAGAGGTATGATGCTCCAACTTGAGGAGACCTTAATGGGCCATATGACTAAGTTGCAGGAGGATTTGTTGGGGAAGCTCCAAGAGGTGTGAAGAGCCTACGAAGAAGAGATGAGCGACGTGCGTGCTAACTTAGAGAAGATACGTGGAGACATTTCGCTGTGCAAGAGGGCACTAGTGGCATCCACAAGTCATCCCACTTTCGAAGCTAAGAGGATTGAAGTTCCAAAACCTATGAGTTTTGGATGGGTTCACAACGCGAAGGAAGTAGTCAACTTTCTTTGGGGACTAGAGCAATACTTGCAAAAATACAATTTGCCTCTTTTTTATCTCTCGGACATCACTATGCTTTGGTGGAGAAGAAGAAAAAGAAATGTAAGAGAAAAATTTTTGCTCCATGTCCACTTTCAATGACTTTAAGAGAGAGCTAAAGAGGCAATTCTAACCCAAGATTGTCGAGGATGAGGCTTGAGCTCAGCTGCGAAGGCCTAAACATGAGGGTTTGATTTGAGACTACATTAAGGAGTTTGCAAGCTTGGTTCTTGAAATCCCTGATATTTCAAACACGCTCTTCAACTTCATGGATGGACTCCAACATTGGGCAAAGACTGAGCTTAGGAGGCGAGGGGTGCAAGATCTTGCCACTGCCATCGCGACTGCTGAAAGCTTGACTAATTATTCAAAGGAGTCTAGAAAGTCCGAAGATAAGAAGATTTGTTTTGTCAAAGGTGGGCGTGACAAGGGCAAACACAAGGAGGAGAAACATTGTGAGACTAACAACAAGCCATAGCAAAACCGTTGCTTCCTCTGTGAAGGACCTCATTGGGCAAGGGATTGCCCTCATCAGAAGGCCCTCAACTCTCTCCTTGCAAGCCATAAGGAGGAAGAAGAAAGTGATTGGGAAATGGCATGGTGACGCATGGGGGATCTCTTCAACTGTTGAGCGGGATGAACGGGATGAAACCTCCGACTAAACCCCAAGCGAAGGGGTTACTCTTTGTAGAGATGACAATCGAAGGGAAGACCACTAGGGCAATGGTGGATACGGGTGCTTCCCACAACTTTATCTTCAATGAGGAAGAAAAGAGGTTACGGTTGCAGATCTGACGAATAAAGGAGGGGGCTCCATTAAAGTCCACAACTCAACATAGATATCAATCGACGGAGTGGCTAAAGGAGCCAAGATCAGCATTGAGGCATGGTCAGATACTCTAGACTTCTCTGTCATTTCTTTGGATGATTACAAAGTTGTCCTAGGAATGAACTTCTTGGAGAAAGCAAGAGCATTTCCAATGTCATTCGCCAATAGCCTGTGCATCACGAAAGGGAGTCAAGCTTGCTCAGTACCGATAATAATGTTAAGCAAGGAAGGATCTGAAACGCTATCGATAATCCAGCTCAGGGATGACATTGCACCGGGCAAGGAGGACAACTTGGCTATCCTTCATGATACCAATGAAGAAGAAAAAGACCCAAG